TGTAAGTTCTAGATCAAATCGTAGTTTACGTGCTAATGATAATCTGATTGTCCCTTTCGCTAGAACCGAACGTTACTAAAAGTCATCATATTTCCTCCGTGAATCTTTGGAATAGCCTTTCAGCGACTATTCGTTCTAGTCATTCAATTGAGCCAATTTAAAATGTTTAAATTCAGTTAATGAGACAACATGTTGAAGGCAAGTGTTTTGCAAGCTTATCCTCATTGACAAATGCATGACAAAGGTGCAAGTCGACATTTCCGTGTATTGTTGGTGGGTCAAAGGTTATTTTCTTGAAGCAGCACTGTGTTCACGTGAATATTAATGAAAGAAACGCTTTTAGCCAATGAAAAGCTTTTACGTATCCCAACTAAAACCAACAGCCAATCACAAAGCAAGTAATAGCATAAGTTATGCATCACGCGCAATTTTTTGGCATTATTTGCTCAAAGCTTTTGAAGGATTTACCTTCGAGCTACTTGTTACAAAGTTTAAATCCCACCCACCCACCCCATCTTACTTGCACTTTGGTTACTGCATTTGCTTCCAACACCTTGTCTACATAATAGTTGGTAAAAGGATCTCATTATAATTAGCATATTATAAGGAAACAATGGCTTCCTGCTGTAAAGCTTTCCAAAATGAAAAGCTTTCCAAAGTGAAAGACTATCAGAGGTGTAAAAGTGCCTATGGACACAAGTTTTACAATATGGTAAATAATAAAAATTGTTATGGTTCCTTTACTGGTAATAAATAAATAAACATTGGGTTACGAGGAAGAAGTATTCCAATATGTCAACTTCATTTCCCATAGACTCTAGTAACGTCACATATAAATATATATTTCAAATAATAGGGACTGTCTAAGCGGTTTTGTGGACCTTAGACAGGTTAGGGACTGCCCAAGCGGGTAGGTTAGGGACTGTCCAAGTGTGCTCTTGGTCAGATACGTCAGGGGGTCGCTACTCCTGACTAGCATTATCAGTTCAGTACAGTATTAGGTATGTGATGATGAGGAGGGATGTCGTTTGACATAAGCACAGAGTACTTCCCCCCAAAACACCCCTTCTCCCACAAAACCAAAATTTGTGTTTTTTATTGTGTTAATTATAGTTTATATTCAATGATTCAATCTTTGGATCATTAATCATTTTTAAAAACAGTGTGACTCCACTACACAAGTTCGTAGCTCCCAATCCGCTATACTATATAGGTGATCGTCTACCAGCTATTTTGCATACTCGTTTGAGATTATCTAATAGTACGTTAAACTAAGATTTATATTTAAAAAATTGTGTTTCTACCTCTTTTTGTGCATGTGGTTTTCCAAAAGAAACTACAGCTCATTTCTTTTTCGACTGTGACCGACATGCTGCTATTCGGAATACTTTGCTCACCTCTGCTGCTTCTTTACTCGGTGCAGCGTGGTCAGGTGTCGGTAAGGGTACACGTCTTAAGTGGTTACTTTATGGTATCGGAAATGTTTCTATTTATACGAATATTAATTTATTTTTAAGTGTCCAAAAATTCATTATTGATTCAGGTCGTTTCACCCGTAGCAGACCTTGACTACGTTGCCCAGTATATGTGTATTTTAATTGTGTGTTTGTCCAAAATTTGTGCTTTCTTTATTAGCTGTTTTTTTGTAAATATGTAACGTCAAGAGCGCACCAGTTAAGCCTTTAGTGACTTTTGATGCAATTGCCAATTTTTGAGTTTAATTAATAAAATATTGTTTATATAAAAAATAGTTATGAATACATGAATAAACTATCGGCATCGATATTATTAAAAAAGCATGCACAGTCACTCACGAAAATGCTTTACGATGTTACTTTAGGCAATCTTCTAGGATATAACAAAAAGTGTTTTATTGGACAATTTAGCAGTCAGCCAAAGTCAAACCTCGAGTCAAACAAACAGTTTCTCTTCACCCTTCTGAGGAATCTCTAAGAGTAGGAAGAAAGTTTTTAGTTCCCATCTATCTATCTATCTATCTACCCTGTAGAAAGCCGCCATCCTGTTTTACGGCCTGTTCCCAGGCGTACAAGCACTAATTAGTCGACCAAATATTTAATCGTAAATTAACTTAATTCCGACATATTCCGTGAAAATGTCTTGATATTCTGGGAAATTCCGGCATATTCTGCGAAATTCCAGTATATTCCGTGACATTCCGGCATTCCGGGTATTCACAACGTCCATAAATATATTGTATAAAACATTCTTTATTAACTGAACCATACGATATTTTTATCGTAGGTTCATATTATTAAAGAAGTTTAACTCTTTTAACTATCGAACTATCCATTGTACTTTTTGTGTGTGGAAACACGTCAAATACCACGTAAATTCATTAGTACTGCAAACAAAAAGTATATAATATATAATTGTTTTTGTTTGTGGAAACACCACGTAAATTTATTACTGCAAAGCTTTCGATCCGTAAGCCAAAAACAATTATATTTTATCGTCATGCAAACATTCAAAGAACTTATTATATAATATATGTTTTATCACCATGCAAACTTACAAAGAACTAAAATATATAACGTAGGTATGCTATTTTCTCTCTATAAGCTTGAATTTCAGGTAATATATTAAATCTTGAACGCTTCTTAATAATATATAATAGCCTACCTAATACTAATAACAATAATCGGTTTATTAGAACTAAATTGCAGTAAACTGATAGACAAAATTTTACAAAATAAAAGATAAAATTTTACAAAACGTGCACGAATTATTGGATTATACAGTTATAAATTATTAAATTGTTCTGTATTTGTTGATCACATATTATTGGGCTTAAATCTTAAGTCGTAATTGCACTCGAAATCATCCTGTTACCTATAGTGATCGCACCATTCTTGGCCAATCGGACAGCGCCTTACATGCCATTGATTTCAAAATGAATATAATAAAGATGAAAAGCATTTGTTTGGTGCATGTGTGAATTATATAGATGCTAGTAATATGATGAAGGAAGGCAAAAATGCATTGTTCTATTGGGGAAATACAGTATTTTAGTTAATGCACCAATTCGTTAAGCAAATATTCTACGACAATTAAGAAAACAACTATGACACACACAATGTTGTGGGAGAAGGGTTGTCGAGGACAAATGCTCCAATTATACTTTAAACTGTGGCCAAAGTGTCGCCCCACAGACTCACTATTACAGCAATATGATTATGATATAATTATATGTCCTCAGGGGTCGTGGCTTCCCCATGTTGGACTTTACCCAAGGGTTAGTAGATCCCCGAGATGGGCATCCTAAATGTCGAAGGGGCGGTAGATACCCGTGATGGTCATTGTAATGTCCAAGGGGTAGTAGATCTCCGTGATGGTCATTGTTTATTTTACAATACACTGTATAATACATTGATTTGTGTGAGTCTATGGGGTTGAGGGTGACCTGTGGGAGCACTCCATCCCCAAACAACCAAATGTTTTTATTTTTACAACCAGAATTTCAAAGTCAATTCCAATACTGTATATTACAAAATATAGATGTGCGTATAATAACATATTAACCAGAAACTACTCCATAATACTTTATCTATAACACTACATGAATTGCATTTCATGTGAATCTTGATGACGGATTGCATATCAAAACAATATTTACAGATTTTTATTTATTTGTGATACCAGTTATGATATAGTGGTGCAAAATCCTTGAAGGGTGGGATAGGTGGTAATTTCGAAGTACTTTGCCGCAGAGGTCATACAATTTTGCTTGCAAGTGACAAAATCAGGCTTACTGATCCAAGCAGGAAACTATGCAGACGAAGATGTGAAACCTGATTGGTTTATTTTCCCGCACGCATGGGAAGAGATTTGACAATGGTTTGTTGTTAATTCAGCCTTGCGCTAGGCACGTGTATGATCACACGATTCACAGATTGACCATCGTACCAGACCCTTGTACTCCACGAGACTTTGCACAACTTTATTCTTGTCCTAACGCTTGTTTCATTAACTTAACTTAAATTAATAATGCTATGGGCATGTATAAACTTGCTATACACCACTAAACAATTAATATT